TCTGTAAATGGCATGACCTGGCCCCCATCAGTTAACATCTTAGGTTCTCATATTTTTTGTCTGTAAAGTATGAAGATTTAATTTCTTTCAAATAAAATTTCTTAAGGATAGATTAATCTATTCTTGCATATCTGAAATATATTCCCATTATTAAAAATAAATATTTATTGAGCTTTTCATGGCAGGTTCTATGCTGAGTGCATTAGACACATTTAGTCACCTCATGAAGCAGGTTCCATTTTATAGATAAGAGAAGGGAGGTTTTGAGAGTGGATATCAGCTGATCAAAGCTGAGATTTATTGGTGCTCCTGTCTGCCTAGCTCCATGCCCCATATTGTTAATCATGATACTGTGCTCCTTAGACTTGGCACATAGACCCTATAAAAGTTTTCTAATCCATCTTAATTTGGGACATGTTTTATTTTCTGTAGGGTGATTTCTCTCTTCAGCTTTATGCTTCCTATATTTTCTAAAGCCTAAGAAATTAAAAGAACTTTTGTACCAGCATGTGTTTCATCCTATGAACAGTTCCAGACCATTTGGAAGTTCACATCTTTTTGAGCCTTGATGCATGTTCAATTTTTTTTTCTTCTCAGCCTGCTCCTCTGTGCTTTTTTTGTTAAGGACAGCAAAAATGAAACTTAAATATTGTTGAACATTCTTACAAATTAGTTTGTTTAGGGACAGAACCTTGGCTTAGGACTTAGGAAATTCAAACTCTAGTTCCGTCTCTGAAATTTAGTCTGTTATGTAACGAACAATCAATACTGTTTTGCCTCATTCAGTTATTGGAAAGTAAAAGATCAAATATGTGAAAAGCATTCAGGATCATAGAAACAAAGTTTCTCTGTGTGATTGCTGAATCATAGGAGCTGCAGTGGATTAGTAGAAACAGAATTAAAGCAAAATGATTTGGGTCTATTGTTGCTTTGGAAGATCTACTTATAATTCATTTGACTTGGCCTAGACATAATGCCAAACTTTGACTGCTGCAGATACATGTAGAATATGCAGGCAACGAGATGATCCAATTGTTATCCAAATTATCCTATAGTAACAGAGGGATTCTAAAATGACTATACTGTATCCTTCTAGTAAGCAAAAATTTAGGAATGTTTTACCATCCAAGTTGTGCAGAGTGAGATGAAAGAATGGGAAGGGAACTGGATCGTGAAAGTTAATGTACTAAGGAGAAGGAAGATAAGAGGAAAAGGGAAATGTCAGGGGAAATAAGGCTCAGGAGGGCCATGCAGAAACATCCTGAGAGTTGAATTACAGATGAACTATGTATTAGTAGAGTCAGCTGCAGAGGGTAGCTGGTGATTCCACCATTTTGAAAATGCCATGCTCCTGAACTGGGCTGCCTCCAGCATACTGATTTGAGGGAGCTGACAGTGTTCTGCTGTTTCTGAAACACAGTGATGTAGGAGGTGATAGCTTGAGAGATCATCCGCAGACATTATTTCTTCAGGGCACAAGGCACGAGAGACTGTGTGTGTGTGTGTGTCTCCTTGGAGGGGGAGCAGGCGGCGGAGGGCTGGCCATTCTGGTGAGCTCACCACCCTCCAGTAGCATCCACCAAACATCCTCAGCATTCCCTAGGCTGTCATCATTCAGGCACCACCTTCAACACTTTTTGCCATATATATATATATATATTTTTTTTTTTTTTTTTTTTTTACTTTTAAACTTAAATATACTTTAAACAGGAATCTCAGCTTTGATGTGCTAGTTACAGTTTTCTTAATGTACATTGAAAGAAGTACAGATAACTGGCATAATTTTAGGTGGACCTGTCCATTGCAGTCCACCTAAGAGTATCTTCAGAAACACTCATTTAATTTGGGCTCTTCTCTTTGTAAAGTGGATAGACATACACCCTAGAGCAGACAGTCAAAGGCAAAACACAAAGGCTGGGAGTGGAAACTTTTCACTGAAATTTTCTAGACAGATTTGAAATGATTGGTGGGAATTAGCTGTCTCTTTAAGCTACCAGCCTCAAACAAGTTTGGGTTAGACCTCAGTTCAGTTTGATTTCTTTTTCAACTACTGAATAGTTTTTTTAGACTGTATATGTTTCTGGGCTTCATGAATGTTTCCTCCTGTTAGTTTCTTAGCAGAATTTTTTTTCTGTTAATCTGCCTTGTCTTTAAATAAGAGGAACAAAGTTTCTCCATCAGTGATGAGATCTACTCTACTAGTCCAAAAGTTTACCTCAGTGCAGCCAACATGCTGCCTTTTAAGTGCCAGATTCAGTGAGAAGGTCTGTGATACAGAGAAAGAAGGTTCTTGCCTTCCTTGAGGCATGGCATGTCACAACCTCAACAGCTCAGTGGGATACAGGTGTGTGCCAGAGACAGGAGAAATCAGCTTTTCAGGTAGATGAACATAGGCCGTAACACTGGAGGGCAGTGACTCACAGCCTTGCTGCTTTGATGTCCTTGCATGAATGTGAAACAGCAACGAGGGAACCTTCAGCAATGAGGGCACGCTGAGATGGCATCATTCCCAAGATGGCATGTTAACGAGGTCCTGTGCTTCAGCCCCAGCTCTTGTATAAAGACACGCAGGCATGTGCTGCACAACTAGAGGCAGTGTGGCGGAAGGGCTGGGTTATCTTGGGAGTGTTGTTGGGGGAGGCATGCTGGCCTCCCAGTGTGAGGGACTCAGAAGCAGCCCTGCCTGTCTGTCTCAGTGACTGTGCCCAGGTGGGAGGGTGGTGTACAGAGGAGGGGGAGAATGGGACAAGGCAACCTTAGCCACTTTAAGGAAAGTTTGTACAGAATCTGAGGTCTCCATGTGTCTTCTTACCCTCGAGCCCAAGCCCCTGCCCACCTATAACCTGAGCTCCTACAAATTCTAAAACCAGTAGTTGGGAGGGTCCCTAACTGCATGCATATGGGGGCAGTTAAAGGAGAAACTACCAGCCCACCCGACCCTCAGTGCCTAGACCCCCACAGTGTTAAACGGCACTGACTACAGCATCTGTGATGACTTTGGGCTTCTGGGGCTCATCCCCTCAATTGTTAGCAGTATTGTTCTCTGAAAGGAGCTTATTTGCTCCTGGACGGACCTAATGTTGCTTCAGACTCAGCCACTTCCCTGTGTTGCCAGAAACCACACCCTCCTCAGGCGTAACCACAGAAGACTATTTCTTTTGGCCGGGCCTCTGACCTTGAAGGATCCAGCCAGCCAGCCGCCTTGAAGCTTTGGGTGCTAGACATAATATGAGCAGAGGCCAAGAGTTATTTCTATTTTATGTTTTATTTAGCATGACTGTATTAGATGTTTTTTATCATCAGAAGTTCTGCTCTTGAAATGCATGTAAAATGCTTCAAAAAACCACTGCCATTGAGTTTCACCCATAGGGAGTCTAAAGCACATTTGGAAATATAAAGAATTCTAGAATAAAGTCACATCCTCAAGAGATGCCTTGCTGCTTTCCTCCTGGAGACACAGTAAGTTGAGGATGTGGATTGATCTTCAATGTCTGCTAAATTTTTAGTTCTCTTTCTTCTGAATGTGATGAGGTAGTTTTTCCTTGGAAAAACAGTTTGTGTTCAGCTTGGGAGGTTGCTTTTTCACCAGCGGTTTCTCCCTTTAATAATTGAAAACCACTGTTCATTATTTACATAAGACTGTCTTTTTCTGGTCTGCTTTCTATAACCTTTCCCCTCTTAAGAATTTTAAGAATTCCCTGACTTTCCTCCAGGGCATTTTATGCCTGCTTTATCCCAGATGTGGGACATAGACTAGGCTGAAAGTTTTGTGTGTGTGTGTGTTTCTACATTTGAAAGACATTCTTTTAACTGGTGCGCACATCTGCCACTGAAAAAAAGGACTTTCAAGAAAGTCAAATAGTGAAGAAAATATGTAAGCTTTGTTTAAATTTTTGACTTACTGAGTGACACCCAGAATGTCATATGCAAATGAAGAAGTAGATAGTAGTTTCAAATAATGAGGGGAAAGTGTACATGTGTTATTTCAGCCTTTTAAATCTGGGATTTTCCTTTCTGAAGGAAGACATGTCAGTTTCCAGTCCCAATAAAGAGTAGTATCTGCTCTTTACTACATGCTTGCTGATGTCAGTCCAGGAACACTTGGGCTCAGCGGATGCTCATTCTGTCTTTGTCTTCTCCGTCTCCACCTTCTCACAAAAAGAGGATATTTACCCTTAGTTATAATATTTTGTCTGTGAACATTCTCACAGATGTATTGAGTCTAAACCCTGATTCAGAAATTTTAGGAAAAGGGCAAATTAGGGTGAAAGAATCTATATTAAGAAATACAAGATTTTCTATTTATTTGTAATGTCAGATTCCCATATGACAGTTCATTACCAGCTTTTGTTTATTGTGGTTTATATATTAATGTCTAAAAAAAATATAAAATCTAAATTTTCTGTGTATGAGAAGAATACTAAGGAGACTTTTTCTTCCCTCCTTGAACAAATATTATATATTTTCCCTAAGCCCAAAGTTCCGTTTTCCATAATTAATATAATTCTGATGTATCATGTTTAATTTTGTAGAATCGGAGTTAATTATTTTGGTAAGTTTCCTCCTAATTCAAGTTTTTGTTATATTTTAAAAGTCTAAATGACTGAGTGCAGTGGCTCATTCCTGTAATCCCAGCACTTTGGAAGGTAGAGACGAGAGGATTGCCTGAGCCCATGAATATAAGACCAGTCTGGGCAACATAATGAGCCCTCGTCTCTACAATAAATCAAAAAGCTAGCCGTGCATAGTAGCACGTGCCTGTAGTTCCAGCTACTTGGAAGGCTGAGGTGAAAGGATTGCCTGAGCTCAGCAGGCCAAGGCTGGGCCATGAACATGCCACTGCACTCCAACCTGGGTGATAGAGTAAGACTCTGACTCAAAAAAAAAAAAAAAAAGTCTAAGTGTGTAAGTTCTGGTTTTTTTCCTAGGAAGTGAGCTTCTGCCAGCTCTGTCCCCCCATGCCATGGTCCCTTGGCTCACAGGTACCTTTCTTCTTTGATCCTGTTAGGACCTTTCGAAGATGGTCTGGCTGCCTGGCCGAGCTGGAGATCGGATGCCACAATGAGGACCCACACACGGGGGGCTCCCAGTGTGTTTTTCATATCCCTGCTTTGCTTTGGGTCTGCCTCCATCACCAACGAGAACCCGGAAGCCCTGGTTCCCTTCACCAACGCCAACTACGACAGCCACCCCATGCTGTTCTTCTCCCGAGCAGAGGTGGCTGAGCTGCAGCTCAGGGCCACTGGCTCACATGCACACATCGCTGCCCGGCTCACGGAGGCGGTGCACACCATGCTGTCCAGCCCCCTGGACTACCTCCCACCCTGGGACCCCAAGGACTACAGCGCCCGCTGGAACGAGATTTACGGGAACAACCTGGGGGCCTTGGCCATGTTCTGTGTGCTGTACCCAGAGAACATCGAAGCCCGAGACATGGCGAAAGACTACATGGAGAGGATGGCGGCGCAGCCTAGTTGGTAGATTTTTGCCTTTTGCTTCTTCCTGTTTTAACTCTGCGTTATAAAGAATTGAATCTGTAGGAACTCTCAGGCCAGGTCTCCACATGCTTCTTTGCCTCTGTGGGGGTGGGTGTTCCTTATTATTTGTGTTGCCAGTGGCTTAGGAATGGCCCCTGGTTTCAAAAGACCTGGTAACCTTCATGATTAAGTTAGAAGGAAAATACTCAGATGCATTTCTAATCAAAGAAAAAATAATTTGCTGCATTGAGTCAGCAGAGGCATCCGATGGCTGTGGCTCTTTCCTTCATGCTAGGCCTGCATGTGTCACCATTATCTGATGTTGGGTTTTGATTGACCCCCAGTAGTTAAAACATTTTGCTGGCAAGCAGTTTCAACTCATTAAGCCTTATTTACATTTTGTAATGCTAAGGAGCTAAAAGTCAGTGTGATGGGACTGACTGGCAATTTGTAAACAAGACCTTACCCAATAAGCAGCAGATTGCTCAAATCTGTAGGAAAACCAATGTTACAGCTTAATTGTGTAAGGAATTCTAATTATGTAATAATTTACTTTCAGAAGTCCAAGGTTCAAGAACAAATTTCCTGTCTCTCTTTGATTAGCTTAAATCTATAAGGAATACTTCCATATGCTTCCAAAAAGACATGGGATAAGTGGATTGAACAAGGTTTTGTACGGGTATTTTTATTTAAACTGTGTTTTAATACACATTATGTTTACTTACACTAAAATAATCTACAAATCACATAAAATATACTTCTAAAATTACATAAGCTGCCACTTGTTAAGGAGAGAGCTCATTTTTAAATGCTTAGAAAAATCCCCGACTGCACTTACTGCTGTGATGAATTACATATTTCAGGAATCACATCTTGTATACTAAGGGGGAAGAATGGTGGTTAGCAAGCTTCTTGATAAATTTTTGGAATTTCCTAGTGAAAAAGATTATGGAAGAGTTGGCATAAATTCATATTTGAGCTGATTTTTTAGGCTTATTGCTAAGTATATATAGTTATTTTGAAGCTTACAATATTTTTGTTTGAAAAAACTTTTTTATTTGATTTGTTTAAAAACTTATCCATGTATGTGGTGGTTTCTTACTTTGACTCACATTACCTGATCTTATTCTATCCCCCGATACCAAGAAACAAAATAAACAATATATGAAGATTTATCTGATACTTGAACTACAAGATCCTATTGTCAGATGATACAGAAACTAATTGATTTGTACAATCAATTAGTTAAAAATGGCAATGGAATTTACATTATTTAGAAAAAAACTTTGTTGTCTATATGGGTAAATTTCCTTTCAGTTTTAGAGAGAGTGGATTTTTGCAGACTTAGATATTGATGTAAATGTTCCATTGAGATAGTTAATGTAGAAAGCTGTCTAGTTCATCCTATGAAAGGTAACTGACTATGTAATACCATTTTTTTTTTTTAATTGGAGTCTTACTCCATTGCCAGGCTGCTATGCAGTACGCTCATGGCCACCCCAGCGTCCACCTGCTGGGCTCAGGCGATCCTTCCGCCTCACCCTTCCAAGTAGCTGGAACTACAGGTGCACGCTACCACTCCTGGCTAATTTTTGATTTTTTTATTTTAGAGACGAGGTCTCACCAAGTTGCCCAGGCTGTTTTTGAGCCCGTGGGCGCAGGCAATCCCCTCACCTCGGCCTTCCAAGGTGCTGGAATTACAGGCTTGAGCCACTGCACCCAGTCTGTAATACCATCTTAATGGAATGTTTTTTAGCACAAATGCAATAACATTAAGATAATTTTACAAGACTAGTACAATTTTCTTATTATAATATAAAACATTCAGGTGTATAAATACCAATGAATGAATGCTGTCATTAGAGAAGTTTAGACTCCTATGATAAAAGAAGAGAAGTAAATAACTTCAAATAAAAGTTTTAATTTTTACATAGTCTCTATAAATTCAGATTTCCTGATTATTGGAGATGTATAGACATTTTCTAGAGGGCTGGTACTTTATTTGTGGCAATATTGATAAAAGCAGGTGCACCATGATGCCATCATCCAGTCACCTGGAAGCCAGTCTTTCACTTAATAGAGCTGAGCAGGTGACTTCTTCCTTTTGACCGCCAAGGTTAGAAATTGAGAATTTGTCTTCACATCTGATTTACAATTCTGGAAGTGATCTTGGCATAGGAAGTTGAGCTACTTGAACATTTTGTCTTGGAAGATACTGTTATTAGATTGTGCTTTTAAATGATATTATGGAAATTTTAACTTTTACAAAACTACCACACTCAGCCCCTAAACTTTAAAATTTTCATTTAGGTTTGTCATTGAGCATAGTAACTTTTTGAAAAATTGAAACACTATTAAGTACTAACAACCTCTGTTTAAATTAAATTAAATTAAATAATTTAATTATTTCAATTAAATATGCCCTCATTATGTAAAAAGAAGTATGAGTGTTGTCATTGTCTTAGGATATAGTTTTCCTATAGTATTTGAGTTCAAAAAAACCCCAAAAGATTGGCTTTTATTTACAAAAAGAACAGTTATTAATATTATGGAGGTTAAAAAAAAAAAGGTTCTTCAACAGCTTCAACAGACTGGATATAACTGCCACCCTCCTTGAAGAGTATTTCTTCTCTTGAAAACCAATGACTAAAGTATGTTCATTTGTTTCTTCACTTGATCAACAAACATGTATTTGAGCATCTACTGTGTGCCGTGCACTGTGCTGGGTAACGGGGATTCAAAGATGAAGAAACAACCCAGCAGTTCCATAATTGGCACCAGTACAAACGTGAGGTACTTTAAACCTAGGCTGTGAGTGTTTCCTCTGCTCATAATTGAGGGTAGGGTCAATTAGTTAGGGTTTCCCTAGCGTTCATGCATGCTTGCTTACACATTTTCATCAGGCTGCACCAGCCCTGCAGTCATCTGCCACACTTGAATCCCCCTACCACTTCTCAGCTGTGTTGCTTCAGATTGAGTTTCTTAAGCTGAGTGAGCATTAGTGTCCTAACGTATAATGCAGCAGTCACCCTTACCTCATGGGGTTGTTGGGTGATGCAGTGATCCATGTGAAGTGCTTAGCACAGTTCCTGTCATGTAGTAAGTCCTCAGTCAATAAGAGTAATGACAACAAGGAGAATTATTGGTGCTGTTACTTTATCTGACACTTAGACCCTACTTGGTTTCTAATTTGGCATATGTAGGCTCTAAGGAAATAGTACTTTTGGTGGGATTTTACTTGTCTTTGTTCCAGCTGCTCTCAAAACTAGAGCATCTGTTTAACTCATACAGTGTCCTTTTTGGCCTTGATCCGTTATATCTCTCGGTACTGTTCCCCTGAGCCCTTGCTTAACGCATGTGAGAATCTAATGGTAACACTAATGAAGAAAGCTTGGGGGAAAGTAATGACAGGGTGTCTTTTATCTGGGATTAAAAAAGAGTCTCCAGAGGGGAAACATGCATACAGATGTATTAGTGTGGTTCATCTCATCTGAGTATTTAGTAAATAAAGAGGCTAAAATTTACGCCTGTAGACTCACTTAAGATTCTTGGGCCATTGTAAAAGAAAAGTCAAACGGAAAATATTATCTGGTTGTACTATGTCCATCTAATAGATGGCAGAGTGGAAAGGACATCTGGCAGATTGGCAGTGATACTGATGGAAGATCCACTGTATGGGTGGGGGTCTACGAGTTCTGATGGTAGGGCACATGCAGAGTCGTGTGCCTCCATGGGCTGTGTCTGCCATTGCAGGAGCCCCTTGCACACTCTGGATCTCTGTTCTCTGTCCTCACTCTGCCACTGTTCCCACATTGTCATCACAGTAGATGTAACAATGTAGTTTATGCCTGAGCTTAATCTCACTCTAAAAATCAGCAATTGAAATATACTACTTTATTTTTTTTTTTAATTTTTCTTTTAAAGTTGTGGAATGCAACTCATGGTTAGGTATACAAATGGTCATTGTACCAATAAAGTTTGGGCCTCCCTTTGGTCCCCATTTCGCCTGGCTTGGGATCAGTTTACTCTTAGTGATGTTTTGTACCCACCCCCCACCATCCTGGAAGTTTACCTTTTTTATAGTATAGATAGTATTATCATAATTGTTCAGGGTCCACTTATGAGTGAGAGCATGTATTACTCAGTTCTTTGTTTCTGTGCTAGATCACTGAGTAGACTCTAAGGCCATTCAAGTTGCTGCAAAGTCCATAAATTTGTTTTTCTTTATGACTGTGTAATATTTCATTGTGTATATGTACCACATTTTTTTTATCCAGTCTATTTTCAATGGGCACCATGGTTGGTTCCATGTTTTTGCTACTGTGAATAATGCTGCAATAAACATAAGTGTGCAGGTATCTTTTGCATAGAGTGATTTGAGTTCCTCTGGATATGTTCCCAGAAGGGAGATTGAATTTTAACCTAATATATAAAGGTAAATTATTATTAGTTTAAAAATTACAAGAGCAAAGACATCACCAATCATGACTTTTTTACCCTTTTAATTAAGACTTTTTTCCTCTGCAGAGCTTGCCTTCCAAATGGAAGCTAGAATTTGAGTTGCATTTGGCTCTGTTATATAAAAACTTGGTTAGAACTTAACATACACCACTTTTAGAAACTTAATGAGCTAAAATCATAAGTCGAGTACTGGTAACAGTGGAAAATAAATTTTATTACACTTAAAATGAATTCATGTTTTTATATAATATTACCTAGATACAAACATGTGAGTTCTGTGTATGCCATTTGGCATATGGAGCTATCCTCATTTTTTCTTTTTTTTTTTCTTCTGAGTTGGCATCTTACTCTGTCGCCCAGGCTAGAGTGCAGTTGGCATGCTCCTTCCACCTCAGCCTTCCAAGTAACTGGGACTATGGGTGCGTACCACCATGCCTGGCTAATTTTTTTTTTAAATTTTCTTGCCAGGTTGTCCAGGTTGTCTTGAACCCCTGGACTCAGGCAATCCTCTCACCTCAGCCTCCCAAAGTGGGATTAGG